TAAAATGTAAACAAATACATCAATTCATTTCCTATAAATGTACTCTTCTATCTCAATTTCTATGGGTGTCTTGATACTTTTTCCTAAAACATTTCAATGTGGATATTATTCACATAACTATAAGACAAAAATCATTGACATGTAAAAATGGAGAAAAAGCTTATTAAGATGTGCAGTACACCGCCCCCTAGAGGAACACATTGTAGTTGTTTTGACTGAGTTGAAAATTCCGAAATGTGAAAAAATTAATTTAACACACACAGAGTCTGACATTTAAACCTCGAAGGGTGTGTCTTGTTGCTGGTTCATAGAACCACATTTCTATGTCTTTTACTTTCATAAAAAAAATTGGATACATACTATTGAATAATCAAATTAAAACCTATTAACATCTCATTTTTGTTAACAAATACGGCATTTTATCTCATCTTCAAAGGCTGTGTCTTGTTACTGGTTCATAGAATAAGATATCGGTTAGATATCGGTTGAATTTGCAGAACTAGCACACCACATGCTGTTGAAATGTAAGCACATACATCAATTAATAAAAAAATACAAATACTCTTTATGGTTTAATACTAGCTTTATGGGGTCTTGTAATTGTTTCCTATAATGACATTTAGATGTTGGGTTTATTCACAAAAGTGTAACACAACAAAAGCTATTGAATCTGGAAGCTTCCCGAAGAGTGTGCAGTACACCGCCCCCTAGAGAAATGTGTTGCATTTGTTAAGACTGAGTTTGACATTCAAACTTTTAATAAATTAATTTAAAATGCATACAGTTTTCCATCTCAACTTCAAAAGGTGTCTTGTTACTGATTGCTTGAAGAACATTTTGATGGTGGTTTTAGCCACAGAACTATAATTGGACACATACTATAGAAAATGAAACCAATACATAATTTAGTTTCAAATAAATACAATCTTCTACCTCGGCTTCAAACGCTGTCTTGTTACAGATTTCTCAAAGAACATTTTCCAGTTTTCATTGTCAAAACAGATGCAGAAGTCACGCTATTGACATTCAAAAATCACTTGCGAAACCTTCCAAAGAGTCTCCAGTATTACTGCCCCCTAGAGGAAGATACTGCAGTTGTTTTGACTGAGTTTGACATTTAAACCTTTAATCAATTAATTTAAATCAATACAGTCTTCTATTTCAACTTCAAAGGGTGTGTCTTGTTTCTGGTTCCTAAATGAACATTTCAATTCAGGATTTACTCTCATATGTAAATCAGGAAATATGGAATTGAATTTAATAAAAAAACTTTTTTGGGGTAGTTGTTCATGAGTCCCTTATTTGTCCTGAGCAGTTAAACTGTCCATTATTCTTCAGAAAAACTCTCCAGGTAACATGGGAAACATATAGGTTTCTTCTGAAGCTTCTGATATAATTCAGCTATTATTTTGTCTTGTGGACTATATGTAAACATCTTTAGTGCAAAATATCTTACTCAGGACAGTACTAAAAAAATAACATGCATTTTGTGTGATCCTCTTACAGGTGTTTTTAAAGAAACAAACCGGACCTTTTGAAAATGAGTTCGAAAATTGAATTTTTAACTAATTGGTGTATTGGTTAATCAGCTTAATGAACAATTTAATTGGCTATTCAGTTTCAATTGCATGTGTTCTCTCATAATTCTGTGGCTAAAACCAACATTAAAATATTCTTCTACAAACCAGTAACAAGACACAGCTTTTGAAGTTGTGATGGAAAACTGCATACATTTAAATTAATTTATTAATGAATGACTTCTGCATCTCTTTTGACAATGAAAACTCCTGCAAAATGTTCTTTAAGAAATCTGTAACAAGACACAGCCTTTGAAGCCGAGGTAGAAGATTGTATTTATTTGAAACTAAATGATGTATTGGTTTCATTTTCTATAGTATATGATATGTTCAATTATAGTTCTGTGGCTAAAACCACCATCAAAATGTTTGTCTAATCTGTAACAAGACACACCCATTGAAGTTGTGTAATAAAACAGTGTTATAAATTAATTTATAAAAAATGTGATTTTCAAATTCAAGTCAAAACAACACTCTTTGCCAGCTTTGTATTAATTGTTGAATTTCAGTAGCATGTTTTCTGTTATAGTTCTGTGACTAAAACAAACATAAAAATGTTCTTATAAACAGTAACAGTAACAAGACACACACCATGAGGACGATACAGAAGAGTGGCAAAATGAATTTTTTATATTTAAATTTCAATAGTGTATACTTTTTTGGTGTCATACTTCTGTGAAAACAACACGCATTAAAGGCTATTATGCTTTTTCACTTTTAAAATTTTAGTCAGTGTGTAGTGTGTATGTTTGGGCATAAAAAAGATCTAGAAAGTTCCAAATCGCAAAGTCCACTCCAAAGGGAGATATTTCGTTTGAAGAAAAAAAATCACTTTTCAAGCACTACAACGAACGGTTCGTTTGGACTACAGCGTTGATTTCCGGGCTTTTTTATATAAAAACTATTTATATTATATGCTACATAAGGAAATATTTTTTTAAGGTAAGAGAGTAAGGGATTGTTCAAATGTGATTTGCTAGACATGTTCAATAAATATTGAAACTTGGCGAGAGAGTTTTCTCCAGCATGACTTTGTAATAGTGGTGGCTGTCCCTAATTAAATAAATCTTTTAAGAAAAATTTTGGGAGCCAGACATTTTTTTTTTTGGGGGTCAAATTTAAACAACTTTTTTCTTCTTTTGTGTGTGAAAATTACAAAAATAATGTATGTAGCATAAATAACTTAATACTGCTTAAATAAAATGCCCTCTTTGCTCACATAATGATATGTGTATGGTAAGAAGTAGGGATGCACCGATATGAAAATTTTGGCCGATACCGATTACTCTTTATTTTATCATATAAACCGATATGTTGGCCGATAAATCTATATCCAAATTGTTATATACTTTTTGAGAGCCTGATTACAAAAGACTTCTGGAAGGTCCTCTTTTTAATCATCAGTTGATGTAGGTTGCCTGTGTGACACAAACATCAGGCTTGGCCCAACTATGTCTTAACATTTTTTCTGGTTGACACTATAGGTTGTCTCTGGCCTGAAATACATCTTCACTGTGAAAATGGGCAGAACCAACTGCAGAAAGGGTGGAGTTGAGACACTGTGTGCCATTCATGAGGATCCCAATGTTGCACGGGTAAGACACACTATGTCTAATTTACAGTATTGTGGTTATCTGTTTACATTTCTTGATTTCCATGTTAAAAGAGATTGACCCTTTTTTATCTTTTCCTTCAAGGCCACTCAGTGCAAAATAACGGTCTGGAGCCAGCCATGGATAAACTCCATTAAAGTCCTTGAAAACACCTGCCTGGCCTAGAGCTTGTTACTAGTGCAGTTTGGGGCTTTTCAACATTCATGCAGCAATAAAATGTACTTGCTATTAGTAATAATGGTGAACCTTAAGTCTTTACTCTTGATAAAATCTTTCTCTTTCTGAAAACCTGCCAACAACAGATCATGATAAAAGACACTTCATTAACACATAATCATGTCATCTCATTAGACTCTGAAGAAGCTACAATGTGTAGGAATTTCTAAATGATAAAACGCATGTTTAGGTCATCCTTTACTATTAAAACATGGTTGAACACAATATGTCTGTGTGCTGTGTTTACTTGGTTAATTTATTATGGAAGTCATAATGACTTGACGTTACAAATTCTACGATTGAGAACACGGTGTTAGTGTTGGCCTGGATATTATTTTATGTATTTACATAAACATAAAAAAAACAGTAAACTTTGATATAATAACAGTTTAATAAGAGCTACCAGAAGTGATATATTTGTGTTTACTTTTAGATTTTATAAATGTCACAATGTTGCATTCACACTTTTCCTCTGTGCATGAAATACACCTCTGCAAAGTTGCTGCATTAATACAGTCATGTTGATAGTGTTGAAACAATGTTTTGCCATTATGTTTTGATTGCCACGACTGCTGTAGTTGGAATAACAGTTGTTATTGTCTATGGATTTTAAAAAAATTGTATATTACTTTTTTTTGTAGTTTTTTGTTTTCTACTTCGTGTACAACGAAGGCATCAGTGTAGCTTGTAGCTTGTGGCGCCCTCTATTGGTGAAAATAAACGCTGTACGATTGCTCTGATAACCACCAGCAGGCTGAGGCTAAGTTGGTCGGTTTTTTTTTGCAGTGTACTTGCGGCAGTGTTGGGGGTAACGCATTACAAGTAACGCGAGTTACGTAATCAGATTACTTTTTTCAAGTAACTAGTAAAGTAACGCTTTACTTTTTAATTTACAAGAGAATATACGAGTTACTTTCCCCCCAATTTATTGACAGCTCTCCTGTCCCCAAGTTGAGAGAAATCCGATGTTACTGTAGTTCTAAAATAAATATGAATATGCATTAATTCATCTCACTCACAAAAAAACAAAAACACAGTTTCAGTAATCCTCAAAACGAATAAAAATAATGCAACTCAGAATATGACGCGAACCTGCAATAATTAAATGTTAAACATCACAAATATCCTTTATGTATTTAATCCCATTCTATTAACCAATGTCTTTGCTTCTGACCTTCGATGATCCAGTTCAACCTTAAAAACCAACAAGCAAGCCCTGTCCAGATTTTTACAAAGTAACGCAAAAGTAACGCATTACTTTCCATAAAAAGTAACTAAGTAACGTAATTAGTTAATTTTTTCATGGAGTAACGCAATATTGTAATACATTACTTTTAAAAGTAACTTTCCTCAACTCTGATTTGCGGGGTGTTTTGGACGTATAAAACGGGGACATTTCCGAAGACATCTCGGTTGGGGTCAGGACGTCAAAACCGGGGTTGACCCGGGAAAACTGAACGTCACCCTAGGTTAAATATGGTCCTTACGTATTTCTCCAAGTCTTCTAAATCTGGTCTGGAAAAGACGTATTTGATCTCTTCCTTGCAAAATACATTCACTATACATATTTTACAGACTGATTTTACTTTGAAACATGAACATTTTACATTCAGATGGGTTAAAAATAGCGGAGACTACTTTATATGCACATCTGCCTAAATCCATATCTGCGTGCTTCACGTCGAAGGAATCGTGTAGCGATGGTTAGGTATGACTTTAGCACATACTTTTATGGTCGCACTGAATCAAATGCCTGATGGTTTTTAGGTTTATGGATTTGTTTTCGCTATGAACAGAGGGAAACCACACACTTTAGAGGTATTGGTGGATACGTGGCCAGCTTTTACCACTATCATTGTTCGACCAGATCCAAATGTGAGAAAAAACGTTCTTTATTAACTATTTAAAAAATGTGTCCAGGTATCACTAATGTCTAAAATCTTTAGAATAATCGAGCAAAGGACTTTATGAAGAAGTCCTGAGAAGAATGCTTGCTGTGGAAGATGCAATTGACTGGAGCACATACTTTCTAGGAGGTATGACTTCGTTCTCCCCCCCCCCAAAAAAACATTATGTTATTAGTATGAATTCTGGTTATCTGAATAAATTCTGGTTATCCTTGTGTGCACCTTATGACATTAACTGAGCCCAGTCATTTAACTAAGCTGATTAAGATGGTAAGCTTTTTGAATAAGTGATAAATATCAATTTGTGTTTGTGCAATATGATACATTTTAATAAAAGCTTAAACATGCTTAAACTTTATATGTTTGCTTTCTTCCTCAGTGACCTAGAGCCCAGATTGTCTGTCCTCAATGAATCACATGCCAATGTAGTTAATAAGACTTGGAAATTTGGTGGGGATGACAAAGGTCACAGGAACATCCTGAATCTCATTAGACATTTCCCCACATGCTGCATTACAGATGAGAACAATCAGCCTGTGTCCTGGGTGCTGTTATATGATTACTGTGCCATGGGGATATTGTACACTCAGCCAGAGCATCGTGGGAAGGGCTATGCCAAAGCCCTGGTGACCACAATGGCACAGAGGCTCCATTCTCAGGGCTATCCTGTGTACTGTTTCATTGAAGAATGCAATCTGCTTTCCTACAAACTTTTTAAAAGCATGGGTTTTTCAGTGGACCCCTCATATAGGGCTGTCTGGTATGAATTTATTTGTTAGCGTGAATTCTCTTGTATTCACTCTCAATACTCATGTTTATATATATATATATATATATATATATATATATATATATATATATATATACTGTATATATATACTTCTTGGACATCATCATGAAATAAAATTTGACAATTCTCATTTTTTTAACAGAATACAGAATGTTTAATGGAATTTTTATTTTTTATTTATTTATGTTCCCTTGTAATCTTTAATCAAAAGCATTAACTTCCTCTTCCCTTCTCAGTCACATCTCTTCTCTGATCACGTGGAAGCCGTGGCAATAAACAGAGGTGTACCTATGAAGAAAGAAGCTGTGTGCTACATGTTGGTTCTTCGAGATCCATCAAAACTCTTACACGTTGATAGGTGAAGTATATGAACTGTAATCATTAACGTCACACTTCAGACACCATTTTATGACAGGCCATAGTTTAAGCCAAGCTACATTGCAGTAATATGTCACTGACTACAAGCACTGTAACTGAAACTTGTAAATGGCTGTTTAGTTGTCATCAACATTGTATTTACCTTTTAACCCACTGGTGGTATTTTTATGTCTTTTACATTTTGAATTTTTTGCTGCGCTTGTTGTCTGAAAAAACAATAGTGGACATAACTACATAATGGTAAATGGGTTTAAAAATAACCAATTTTTGGGGTACAGTCTACAAAAAAAGCCACGATAGTCTTTGATAATGCAAAACCTAATAAAATTGCAACTGAAAATACTCTTAAGCAACCAGAGAATATTTTTTAAATATTTGTATTATGTAGAAATAAATTGCACATCATTTAGAGGTGAATATTGTCTAATACTATGAAATATTCTCAAAATACTAAATATTTAAGAAAATGCAGTACATTCATTTCATTAAAAAAAAAAGTTATTTTATTCTGTTTTGACTTTTTTTTCTCTTTTCCCCACAGTTCATCACTGAAGCCGTCTTCTCTCAATGAGTCTCATGTTGAGCTAGTCAACCGTAGCTGGAAGTTTGGCTGTGTAGACAGCAAACTAATGATTAAGAATATGATTTTGAACTTCCCCTCTTGTTGTGTCCTGGACTCAGATGATCAGCCGGTAGCATGGATTTTAACTTATGCTTCCTGTGCACTGGGAATGCTGTACACACTTCCAGAGCACAGAGGAAAAGGCTATGCAAAAGCACTGATCACCATTATGTCAAAGAGACTCCACTCTCAGGGTTATCCAGTGTACTGTTTTATAGAGGAAGAGAACCATTTATCCTACAGTCTCTTCACAAGCCTGGGTTTCACAGAAGAACCGGATTATAGGGCAGCCTGGTTCGTCTTTAATGATTTTTAATTGGGTCCCATCAGAGCAGCCAATCACAGTTGTTTAGCTTCTGTCTGAGATGCTATATAGAGTTATGTACAATGTTTTTTTTTCTTTTAAAAACGTCCACAAGGCCACCATCAACAACAAAAACTGATTTATTTAAAAAAATATCCATGAATAAAATGTGTAAAACAACTGTTTATTTTTTGTATCAAATATAAAATATTTACAGTTGAGCAACACATTGTGTGGCATCAGCTAGATTTATTATACTAGTTAAAGGCATCTTATTTTTCTGCATATTCTTCTAGTCGAAGCAGCCATTTCTCCCAGAATGGCATAATCTGCTCTGAGTTCAGGAAGTGAGCATGTGCGGGTGATCCATCTTTGTAGGCCACCACAATTAAGCCGTTTTCTACCTGTACATAAATGACATAAGATGGAAGACTTCAATGAAGAATACATGCATGCATTTAGCAGATGCTTTTATCCAAAGCAACCTACAAAAGAGGAACAAAAGCTATTTGTCAAGCAGCCAATAATATAGAATGACTGGTTTATTTGGCAGGTAGATTAGGAAGCAAGCTAGAGAAGAAAAGAAAACTCCAACAATCCATTTGTAATACCTAGTATTACAATCCATCACAGAAGATCTGTACACAAATGGTCAGACAAAAATGTATTCACCAGATATTAACACGTGACCACTTATGAACGGCCCAGCCATTTCATGGCTATACACATTACCATTCAAAAATTTGGGGTCTGTAAGATTTAAAAATACAGTAAAGGTGTCAAATATTATTACAATTTTAAAGAACTATATCTATTGTAATATATTTTTGAAATGTAATTTAGTCTTGTGATAGCAAAGCTGAATTTTCAGCAGCCATTACTTCAGTCTTCAGTGTCACATGATCCTTCAGAAATCATTCTAATATGCTGATTTGGTGCCCAAGAAACATTTCTAATTATTACTAAAACTGAAAACAGTTGTGCTGCTTCATATTTCTGTGGAAACTGGTATAGATTTTTTTTTTCAGGATTCTTTGACAAACAATTTTCAAAAGGACTGTGTTTATTATTATTTCATAACATTAGAAATGTATTTTTTTTAACATTTGATCAATTTAATGCATACTTGCTGAATAAAAGTATTAATTTCTCTTACTGACCCTAAACATTTGTACAGTAGTTTTTGTATAGACTTCGGATCTTAATACCAGGTGTAAAATGTGTTGTAGTGATGTTTACCTGGTAGTTGTAGTTGTGGTCACTGTTCAAAGCTCCCATGTACGCAGCTACTTGTAATGGATTGTCGTAAGTGTGGCGAAGGAAGGGCTTAGGCTTCTCTGAGGTCTTCCAGTCAATGACACACAGTGAACCTCTGTATGAAAATTCAACATGACCATGATGTGTGTGTATATATATATATATATGTATGTATGTATGTATGTATGTGTGTGTGTGTATACACACATTCATAGGCTATACATTAAAAAAAAGTGCATGGTGATTACAAATTAACTAAATGAATCTCACCTGTATTCGGCAACGCAATCTACAATGCCAAGGTACCGTAATGCAGAATGATGCACAACACTCTCAATAGATAGCTCTCGCTCCTGCTATATCATTCAACACATTAGATACACTCTCTATCTCTCCGGTCACCTCTGCTGGACACTCATGGTCCTCCTCAGAAGAGGTTTCCTGTGTGAAAGTGTCCTCAATGGCAGCATGGAGCAGCTTTCCTAGTCTGAAAATATCTAAAACATCACACAGATGAATTAGAAGGTGTTTTAAAAAAGCAATAATGAAAAAAATTAATATTCTTACTCAAACTGTATTCTTGTAACTCTTCCTCTCCGAGTTCAGCAATCATCCTTCTCTTCCACCTTTCCAGGTAAAAGGCTTGGTCAGCCGGCATGGTCTTCTGAAGGATTCGGGTCACACTGGGTATAGATGTATTATTAGTCTCTCTTAAATGCTATACGAGCCAAAGGTCCCGGCACATACTCCGACTGACCCTTAGCATCATTTAACAGTGGATGCAGGTTTTTAGGTACTTTGGGATGTTGTGAAGGCGGTCTGGATGATCTTTTTATATAGGTCCGTACAGCTGACAGTCCTCATCCTCGATGCTTTCAGGAGTCTGGCACCAGAGATGAGTACCGCTCTGTGTCCACTGTGCTGTACTGACTGACCTTTTTGCGTGCTCGCCATTGACAGCTGGTTGAAAAGTTATCCACACGCGAGAACTGACCAGAGGGGAAGCCCATTGATCTCACACACTTGCATTGTATAACCAGCTTCAATACTTGCATTGTGATCGCCATACATGATGTTCTTATCTTGTTTCTGTAGTAATTTTTGCGGCTATCTGCACATGCTTTGGAAAACGGACAGATCAATCAAAATACAAAAACGTTTTATAAAAAAAGTTTTGGAGTGGATTAGCGATCGTGAGGTTGTTGCATTCCGGTGTTTCAAATGGAGCGCAATTTGAACTGGATCGACTGAGGGAATTATGGGAATTGTAGTTCGAACTGCATCGAAAGTAGGTTTAACACGTTACCATAAAACACCATTTCCCACAATGCAACTTTTTGGTATAGACTTTAAAAATATCCTAGTTTTTTATTGACAGCCAACACATAAGATATGTATAAATATGTGTATAGGCTCACATTTCCAAATAAAACAATTGTATTGAAATCACTCGAAGCTTTTCAACACGTCACTACCACCTGGTGGTCAAAACTCTAAGCAACTGTACACAACAGCTTCTCAAACGTCATAACATATTGTTAATATAGTCGTTAACTACTTACAGATTTGCAAACTAGGCATGTAATAAGATTTTCTCTCTTTTCACGGGGTTTTATCAAAAATTCAACCAATTTAAGTTTTAAAGACTTTTATTTTGACGTGCTGCCAGAAAAATATTCGAGCCGGATGTGAACAGTGACAGGCGAAACTGGAGAGTGAAAAGCAGCGAGCTGTTGAAAAGTTAAAAGTACAGTTTAATGTACAACCCAGAGACGATCAAATAAGCGAAAGATTTTCTGAACATGACATCTATCTCAGAGGACAGTGATAAGGAGAAGGTAAGTGCTGTCACATCTCTCTATTGTAAAGATAAAGCATATATTAATTGATGTTTTAAGCAGGTTGCATACTAACCGCCCAGCTCTGTTTGCACTTTATAGTGAGTAATCGTACGATTGTCACACTCACTCATAGCATTAACTCTTTACTAGCTGTTCCTCAATAATAACTACAAAACCGTTTTAAAATAGTCGTCATATCATATCTGTCTGTCAATAATTATATTGTTTTAGCTAGTTGCCAGTGTAATTACTTTAGTGATATTGTCCAATACGTTAGTTGTATTAGTTTTGTAGTTGTATTGTACTTGTTATTCTCTTTTCTGCAGAAATGGTTTGAGGAAATTTCTCTTTTTCTGAACTCTTTTCCAAACTACTGTTACGGTGTGTGGGATAGGTGACTCAATAAGTTTTCTTTGCTAACATGGTTTTTGAACAGAGTTCGTGAGTTCATAAGCATAGACTGCAGAATAAAATATTTTAGCATTTTTTTTCCCACCGAGACTGTTCAAAAGACGGACTCTACATGACATGACTATAGTTCTCTTTGTTTCTTTGTTTGAAGCTCTCTTCTTGATTTGTCACAAGACGATTCAGTTTTCAACAAATCATGTTTTATATAGGTGCGCTCTGTGTCAGTCGACTTGAACAATGATGCATCTCTCGTAATTGATATCCCTGATGCCCTCTGTGAACGTGACAAAGTCAAATTTACCGTCCACACCAAGGTGAGACGACAGATCATATTTATAATCATTCAAATAAGTCAGTTACTTGCACACATTCATGTATTTCACAGTGTAGTAGTGGAGGACAGTATATCTTTGACTCATGGTGTCGATTTGCTCTTCACTTCCTCTCAGACCACGCTTAGTTCCTTTCAGAAGCCGGAATTTTCTGTGCCACGACAGCATGAAGAATTCATCTGGCTTCATGACACAATCGTGGAGACTGAGGAATATGCTGGCCTCAAGTCTTTGTTTGAAGCTCTCTTCTTGATTTGTCACAAGATGATTCAGTTTTCAACAAATCATGTTTTATATAGGTGCGCTCTGTGTCAGTCGACTTGAACAATGATGCATCTCTCGTAATTGATATCCCTGATGCCCTCTGTGAACGTGACAAAGTCAAATTTACCGTCCACACCAAGGTGAGACGACAGATCATATTTATAATCATTCAAATAAGTCAGTTACTTGCACACATTCATGTATTTCACAGTGTAGTAGTGGAGGACAGTATATCTTTGACTCATGGTGTCGATTTGCTCTTCACTTCCTCTCAGACCACGCTTAGTTCCTTTCAGAAGCCGGAATTTTCTGTGCCACGACAGCATGAAGAATTCATCTGGCTTCATGACACAATCGTGGAGACTGAGGAATATGCTGGCCTCATTGTAAGTTAAAACCCATATTCATATTGTCTAGATTTATGAAAGCTCATCATCAGCAACAGGCATTCTGTCGGCCAACATGAAAACCACAAAGTTTCTCTACTGGCCATCAGTCTGCATTGTAGACTGTTGGAATAGCTAAATGTGTTGCGTTTACCATATTCCTTAGATTCCTCCTGCCCCACCAAAACCTGACTTTGAGGGTCCCCGGGAGAAGATGCATAAATTGGGAGAGGGGGAATCGAGCATGACAAAGGAGGAATATGCCAAAATGAAGCAGGAACTTGAGGCGTGAGTTTAATTCTAAATTATATTTTTATATTTTTGCTATTTTTTTGCACGTCCTTGTGGCATTACTGACATTTAAAAGTATATATTTAAAACACTGTATCCTTTCAGGGAATATCTTGCTGTTTTTAAGAAGACTGTGCAGGTTCATGAAGTTTTTCTTCAGAGACTCTCTTCCCACCCCATCTTCAGAAAGGACAGAAACTTCCAGATATTCCTGGAATACGACCAGGATGTGAGTCTTCCATTTTGTCTTGGCCAGTCCTATTCTTCCCAGACCAGGAAATAGAGAGACAGTGAGAGGGACTGTTGGCACTGCTTATTTCCTGCGATGCTGCTATGTTGGCAGTTTATACACAAATGGAGAGAGAGCGAGTGGAGGATGAGTGCAGAAGAAATAGGGGGAGGAGATGAGAGGATATTACTCTGAGGGCCACTTCCTGCTTAGTTCAGTGCAAAAACGGTCTCTTACTCTTAACTGTTTTTGCTGATATAAATATGTATACATATAGGAAAAAGTCTCTTTAAACTCAGCCAAAACCCATAAGTCTTGTATTGCACTAAGTGTCAGTTATACTGATAAGACAAGACAAGTGACCTCCTTGGATCTCAGGCAGTGGCGATAAAGAGTGCACACTATGGTTCTGCCTTCTGATCGGTTCATATTGTGCTCGACTCTGTAATCCTCTTCTCATTTGTTGTTTAGCTCAGCGTGAGGAGGAAAAATGCCAAGGAAATGTTTGGAGGGTTCTTTAAGAACATGGTAAAGAGTGCTGATGAGGTCCTCATCTCAGGAGTCAAGGTCAGTATGCCAATCAACTCTCTGTGGGTGTGTTTTTAGTGATTTCATCACAAGGCAGCAGTGTTCTGTCTCATGTCATGATATGTCCGTTTTTTTAACTTTCTTTTTGCAGGAGGTTGATGAGTTTTTTGAACAGGAGAAGACTTTTCTGTTGGATTATTCCAGTAAAATCAAAGATGCCACTGCTAAGGCTGAGAAAATGACGCGTTCACACAAAAGTGAGACCATTTCATCCAAATGAATACACTGGCTACAAGTATTTTGGCTTTTTGTTAATGCTAAGAGACATTCTTATTCACAAAAAGATTGCCTTTCTTTTCTAAGATGTTGCTGATGATTATAACCACATTTCTGGGGCTCTGAACAGCACTGCTGCAGACAACAACACTGCCTTTAAAAAGTGAGAAATATATTATTTGCAGTAAAAACACCATTTAGCGAAGGACAGTAATAAATGCATGATTTGTTAAAGGGCATACTTAATTGATAGGCAAGTGAAACAAGCTCTTTAGTGTAGTTAATAGTCAGTACTGTTATATACACTGTCTGGCCAAAAAACGTTGGCAATAATAAAGAGTCAAGGATCTGATCATTATTGCAGTGATTAATATGTTTCTGGCATGTTGTATGTTTGGCAACAATTCTTTTAACCCTAACTGGAGTGTGTAGCTTTTTATTTCTCAATCAACCATGTTGGAAGATGTACCCATGTCCATATTACATGATGACAATGTCTAGATTCATTGGGCACAAATTGTGAAATAGGGGTTCAGTGAGCATGAGGAATCATTTTCACGTATGAATTGGCAACCACTGAAAGTTTTTGGAATGTGCTGATGACTCTTGATGGAAATAATGTTGTGATGCACAACGTTGTCAAAACAATACCACAACAAAAGCATAGTATTACCAAATCTGAAGGTCAAATGAAATCTTTCACAATTTGAACCTGGTGAATCTTGACATTATCATCATGGAATATGTACACGGGTACATCTTCCAACTTGATAGTTTGAGAAATAAAAAGCTACACACTGCATCACTTGGGATTAAAATAATTTTTGCCAAACATACAACATGCCAGAAACATATTAATCACATATTTGCTTATTTACATATAGACGGTGACTTTTTTTTGCAGTGTATGTGTATTTTTTAATGTCTTTTATGGCTCAATGATGAACAATTAAAACAAAAAAATATAAAAGTTTATATATATATATATATATATATATATATATATATATATATATATATATATATATATGTATATGTGTGTATATATAT